TCCTGACTCGTGCCCTCCCCCCTGTTGTGAGCTGCCAGCGCTTGATCCCTGGCTCCCTTCCTCTTCCCTGCTCTCTGGCGGTGACGCTGGTCCCGATTTCCAACTGCTCCCCTCTGAGTCCCCTCTGGCTCTATCTTCCTGGGGCGTCCCCTAGGCTCCCCCTTGCCCTGGCCACTGGTGCTCCTTTCTGTGAATCTTCTGATTCACTGGAAAGACTCGGAGATCTCGGGTCGTCGTCATCACTCATCTTTTCTTCTGCCTCCTCCCCTCGCTCTCTGTTTCCTCCCTTGCCGTTGCCTCTGCTCCTGAACCCCTGACATCCATCCCCCTCGAAGCCCCTCTTCCCCCTCCCCTCCTTCCGGTGCGGGATCTGGGTGCTGCCGTGTCAGGGGACGAATGTCGGATACAGTTCGCTTCCCGTGGCGGGCCGCCATCTGAAGTCTTCCGGTTCTTCCTCCCTGCTCTCGTTGACGACGGTCACCTCCGCTTCCATCTCTGTGCCGCCGTGCTCGAAACCCGGGTCGTCCCGAAAGCGTCCATGTCCGTCTCTCCCTCGTTACCTTCTGGAGACGTTGCTCGTCCTGGACCCTCCAGCCACCTTCTGCGGAACTGCTCCTCTGGTCGATCATCCCACCAATACGAGGGTTCTGAAGCAGATCCCGAGGGTGACCCCTCCGGGGAACGGGCGTCTCGTGTCGGTTCCTCGTCCGAGTCGAACCCCGGAACGTGCTGGCTGAAAGCGTGGGCGTGAAAAGCCAGTCGTCGAAAAGTCTGCTGGCATTGGCCTATGTGGGAAGAGGGCATGAAACTCTTCTTTGAGCAGAGGTTCGTCTAAAGCGTAGCCCGGCACCCAGCTGTTGGCACTGGCCGGGGTGCCCTCCTTGGCGAGAAGGTATTCTACCCCCTCTTCCCCCAATCTGGAGTCCAAAATCTCCGTGGCTTCGTTGATGCGCTCCTCCCGTGCCACTCCCCCCTGCCCGGTTCTCTCTCGGAGCGGACCCGGTGCCGTTCCTGGTTCCTGAAACCTGTGAGGTGCCTTGTATGGAGTGAGCACCGATCTGTGGAACACCGGATGCATCCTGGAACCCTCCGGAAGAGCCAGCCTGAAAGCCACCGGGTTGACCTGTTCTTCGACTTGGTAGGGCCCCAGTTGTTTATGCCCTAGTTTCTTCTTCGCCAACGACCTGGCCGGCACTGCGTGGGCTGCTAACCAGACCCAGTCTCCCACATGGATCTCTTCGCCAACCCTTCTGTGTTTGTCCGCTTGTACCTTGTATGCGTGTTTAGCCAGCTCCAGGTGCCGCCGCAGCTGATCGTGGACCTCCTGCAACTCCGACGCGAATGCATCTGCTGTCTGCGGCTCCCCTCCCCCATTCTTTCCAGTCCCGGGAAGGTTCTGGGGTGCCTCCCGTTGTTGGCGAAGAACGGCGTGACCCCCGTGGACACGTGCTTCGTGTTGTTGTAGGCGAACTCGGCGAGAGGCAGGTAATCCACCCACGTCGCAGGCTGTTGATTCGCATAACATCTCAGGTACTGCTGCATGATGGCATTGACCCGCTCCGCTTGCCCATTGGTCTGCGGGTGTCTAGCCGACGCCAGGTTGATCTTGACGTTCAGGAAGCCCATCAGCCTCTGCCAGAAGTTCGAGATGAACTGTCGCCCTCGGTCGGACAGAATAGACCGCGGCAGACCGTGAACCTTGAACACGTGGTCTATGAACAGTTTGGCGGTTTGTTCCGCCGTGGCCACCTTCGCACACGGAATGAAATGTGCCATCTTGGAGAACAAGTCCACCACCACCAGCACAGCCGTCTTGCCCCTCGAGCTGGGCAGATCCGTGACAAAGTCCAGGGCCACTCTCTCCCATGGTTCGAACGGAGTTTGCAGCGGTTCCAGCAATCCGGCCGGCGGTCTGTGCACTGGTTTGGCCCTCTGGCAGGTGTCACACCTCGCCACGTAGTCCGCGACTTCCCTCTCATTCCTGGCCACCAGAAGTCTCTGGCTACTAATTCCACCGTCTTCTCCTTGCCAAAGTGCCCGGCAGTGGGCGCGTCGTGCAGCTGCTGCAGTACCTTGGCGCGAAGTTCGTCTCCCGGCACGTAGATGGCCCCTTTACGGATGAGCAAACCATCTCGCAGCTGGAACTCGTCGGTCGCTGCCGTGCCCCTGTGCGCCTCTGCCATCTTTGCTTGCGCGAAGGAGTCATCCTGCAACGCTCGTCGCACCGCCTCCAGGTCAACTGTTGCCGCCGTGCACGCCCACACTGTCGGTGCGAAGATGTGCATGGCGGCCGCTGGCGTTGCCTCCTCCAGATACTGCGGCTTACGGGAGAGAGCATCCGCCATGATGTTGGTGTCCCCGGGACATACTCTATTCGGAAGTCGAAATTCGCAAAGAACTCAGCCCAACGTATCTGCCTCTGGTTCAGGAACTGTGCCGTGCGCCAGTGCTCTAGATTCTTGTGGTCCGTGCAGACCTGCACCGTGTGCTTGGCGCCGATCAGGAAGTGCCTCCACGCTTTGAACGCTGCATGAATGGCCAGCAACTCCCTGTCCCAGATGGTGTAGTTCTGTTCGGACTTGCTGAGCTTCCTTGAGTAAAACGCTCCCGGCCTCCAAACCCCCTGCGGGTCCTTCTGCAGCAGGACTGCTCCCACGGCTCTGCCCGACGCGTCCGTCGCCACCCGCCTCGGCTTGCTGGGGGTGACATGAAGCAGGTGCCCTTCCGACGCGAAGAGACGGCTTGAGTGCCTGAAAGGACTGCTCCGCCTGCTCTGTCCAGATGAACTTCTTTTTCTTGGAGCTGAGCGTGTCCGTGATGGCCGCTGTCTGCATGGCAAAGCCTTTGATAAACTTGCGATAGAAGTTCGCAAAGCCGACAAACCGTTGGACCTCCTTCCGGTTGCGTGGGCTTTTCCAATCCAACACTGCTCGGACCTTGGCGCTGTCCATGGCGAGCCCTTTATCAGACAACTTGTAGCCCAGGAAATCCACCTCCGTCACGTCGAATTGGCACTTCTCCAGCTTGGCGTAAAGCCTATGTTGCTGTAGCCTGCTCAGCACTTCCTTGACGTGTCTGTCATGCTCCTGCTGCGATTCCGAAAAGATCAGGATGTCATCCAAGAAACAGACGCACGTCTTGTAGAGGAGCCCCGCCAACACGTGATGCATGAACGCTTGAAAAACGTGGGAACCATTTTGCAATCCAAAAGGCATAACTCTATATTCGTAGGTGCCCAGGGGCGTGAACATGGCTGTCTTCCACTCATCTCCTTCCCGCATGCGAATGAGGTTGTACGCCCCTCGCAGGTCCAACTTAGTGAACACGCTGCCCTTCCGTACCTTTGCGAGGAGGTCGTCGATTCGGGGCATGGGGAAGTCCGATGGCTTGGTCACGCTGTTCAAAATGCGATAGTCCACTACAAGTCTTTTCTGGGGCGTGTCCCGCTTCTTAACAAAGAATACCGGACTGCCCCCCGCTGCCTTGGACTCTCGGATGAAACCGCGCTCCAAATTATGATCTATGAACTCTTTGAGTTCCTGCAGTTCGTCCTCAGACATGGAATACAGCTTCCCTTTGGGCAGCGCCGCCCCCGGCAGCAGGTCAATTTTGCAGTCATATGGTCTGTGGGGGTAGCCTGTCTGCCTCCTTCTCGCAGAAAACCTCCAAAAATTCTGCGTACTTGTGGGGAACCGCTTGCAGCGTGCCTAGCTGCAGCTGTGACTCCTCTTCCTCTCCTTCCTGCCGGGGCACGATGCAGTGTTCAGCGCAAGGAAGAGCCGAAGGTCAGCTGCCTCTGGTACCAAGCCAGCGTCGGGCTGTGCTTGTCCAGCCAACTCATGCCCAATACAATGGGCGTGTCCGATAGTTGAGTGACATTGAAGCTGATGATTTCCCTGTGATTCCCAAGCCGCATCACCATTGGTGGCGTCTGCTTCACCACTTGCCCCCCTAGCAGCTCCCTGCCATCCACCGTGACAACCTGCAGGGGCAGCGTGGCAGGCAGCAACTGTATAGCGTGCCGGTCGACAAAGTCCTGCCCTATAAAGTCCGCATTGCTTCCGGAGTCAATGGTGATTGGCACGTCCATGGTGATTCCATTGGGCAGCTGGAGCGACGCGGTGAGCCTCACTACTGGTTTGGGCGGGAGGGGGTCCATGGGCTGTAAAATCTCTGGGGACTGCTTCACTGACACGTCTGGCTGGGCCCCAGTGCCTCTTCCTCCAACCAGACTCCGTCGTTTCCCTGCTGTGGTTCTCCTTGCTGCGTTGCTGCAGTTACCATTGCTGAAGCTGCAGTGTGCTTGTGGAGCCTCTGGGGACACTCTTTCGCCATATGCTGTGGAGCATCGCAGATGTAACACTTCCTGTTCCCTCTAGGAGGCTTCGCTTTCACTGCTGCCGGTGCTAGGGCTCTGGCTGCTGACTGAGCCCTTGCACCTCCAACCTCCATAGGTTCCGCTCCTCCTCCTGGCGGAGGCGTGGATTGCGCACGCGCTGCTTCTCTGGGAAGGAAGGAGGAGCCCCTGGCTGGTTCGCGCCCTCCACGCCCTTCGTCCCTGCTCCACGGACGTTCTTCCAGCCGCACCCCCACCGCCAGCGCCCTCTGAACGATCTCCTGCGTGGTCCGGGGTCTCTCCCCTCGCAATTTCATCTTTAACCGAGCCGTGCAATCCCTCCCAAAACAGGTCTCTTACAGGAGCCGAATCTCTGTCCCATTCCAGAGCACTGACCAAAGCGAAAAGCGGGCATGGTACTGCCTTACGCTGGCCCTCCCTTGCTTCAGTCCATGTATCTGCTGCCGAGCAAGATCCACGTCAATGCTTGATAAAAAGCACCCATCCATCGCTTTAATAAAGGCATCCGCATTTTGGAGCGCCGGATCCTTATCTCTCCACAAATTGCGCAGCCATGCTTTAGCATCTCCATGCAAATGGGACATGATGAATCCCACCTTCTCTTGCTCATCTCTAAAGTCTTTGTCCAGCAGTTGCAGTGCACACATTACATCTGCTCTAAAGTTGGGGTACTGTTGCAAATTCCCATCGAAGTGAGAGACCAGACCGCCTGTTCGTCTCCCCAACCCAATCCCCTCCGGTTTGGGTGTCAGTTGCCCTTGCTTCGTAAGCACTTCCAACCTGACCTGGAGATCCCTGTAGGCGGCAGCTGCGTCCTCCTCTCTCTTCCTGGATGCAAGAGCCTCGGCATTCAGTCGTGACACTGCTTCTCTGAGTTCCGCTATCTGCTGTTCGGCCGTCATATTGTCTGCCTTTCGTGAGCTCGCTAGTAGGCACCCGCTTTCTCTCCTCTCCGCGAGGCTGTAGATGCCCACAATTTAGTGAGACGGAGCTTACTGTCAGAGCTGCTTCCAGATCCTAGCTCACAGAGGATCACGCTAGCCAGCGATCATTAAACAAAAGTCTTTATTGAGTTACAGTTTCCATTCTCAAACTGCTGCGTGCAACTCTACGTCTCATGGTTAGACCGGCGAAGCTCCGTCTGAGTCTCCGCCCCTTGTACACCAACTTAATATCCTAGCCCTGCTCCACCTTTTCCGCCTGACTGTTCTTCTCTGGGTCCCTCTGCCCCCTGGGGTCTCTTCTTTCCGGGATTCCTCTGACGCTGACGCTCCTGACTCTTCTCCCTCCTTTCGGCGGGCTTTAGGACCTGGCTCCCTTTCCGGGCTGCCTACTGTGCCACCTTCCTGTGCATTTGAACTTGGCGCGCGCGCCCAACCTTCCACCTTCCGTCTGACCGTTTCTTCGCTCCCCGATGGAGGTGTGGCCACTCCTGACTCGTGCCCTCCCCCCTGTTGTGAGCTGCCAGCGCTTGATCCCTGGCTCCCTTCCTCTTCCCTGCTCTCTGGCGGTGACGCTGGTCCCGATTTCCAACTGCTCCCCTCTGAGTCCCCTCTGGCTCTATCTTCCTGGGGCGTCCCCTAGGCTCCCCCTTGCCCTGGCCACTGGTGCTCCTTTCTGTGAATCTTCTGATTCACTGGAAAGACTCGGAGATCTCGGGTCGTCGTCATCACTCATCTTTTCTTCTGCCTCCTCCCCCTCGCTCTCTGTTTCCTCCCTTGCCCTTGCCTCTGCTCCTGAACCCCTGACACCATCATTTAGGATTCCCTGAATCCTTTGACTTCCCTCTGTCCTTCCACGGTTACCATTATTTTCTCTATTTTTTAAAAAGAATAGTAATCCGTTTTTCCATAGTTTTTTGTACATTACAAGCATTACTTCAATCCTGCCAAAGGGTTTTTAGTTGTTTACAGTATTCTCTTAAATACATTATAATTTTTTCCCATTCCTTCCTAAAATTCTTCTCTTCCTCATTTCTGATTTTCCCAGTCAGTTTTGCCATTTTGGTGTAGTCCATCATCTTCATCAGCCATTCATCTCTGGCTGGAACTTCAACTTCTTCCCATCTCTGGGCCAGTAGTATCCGCGCTGCTGTCATTGCATACACGAATAGTTGTTTCTGCTCCTTCAGAATCTCTGTACCTAGAATAGCTAGCAAAAAAAGCATCTGTTTTTCCCCACAAATGTTATTTTAAACATTTTTTTCAACTCTTTGTAAATCATTTCCCAGAATACCACATATGGTAGAACGTGTGTTCTTTCTCCTTACATTTCCAGCAAACATTTGAAGCAGTTCTATACATTTTTGCTAATTTTACAGGTGTTTTGTTGTTGTTTAGTCGTTTAGTCGTGTCCGACTCTTCGTGACCCCATGGACTAGAGCACGCCAGGCACTTCTGTCTTCCACTGCCTCCTGCAGTTATGAGAAAGGTGAATCCCACGCTAGGAATTATTAGGAAAGGGATTGAAAATAAAACTGCCTATATTGTGATGTCTCTACAAATCTGGGTTGCAACCAGACTTGGAGTCCTGTGTATAATCCTGCTGGCCTCATGTCAAGAATGATTTAGTAAAGGTTCAGAAAAGGGCAACCCATGTGATCAAGGGGACGGAGTGTCACCCATAGAAGGAAAGGTTACAGTATTAGAGGCTTTTATGTTCTGATGAAAGGCAAGCAAGAGGTGACATGCATCAAAGAATTATAGAATTGTAGAGTTGGAAGGAACCACCTTCCACAAGAGACCGTTCCACTGTCAAACAGTGCCACCATTCCACTGACAAGCAGCTCTTACGGTCAGAAAGTTCTTCCTGATGTTTAGTCAGAATCGCCTTTCTTCTAACTGGAAGCCATTGGTTTGAGTCCTACTCTAAAGAGCAGGCGAAAACAAGCTTGCATCCTCTTCCATGTGACAGCTCTTTAGACAGTTGAAGATAGCTATCCTCTCAGTCTCCTCATTTCCAGACTGTTGTTGTTGTTTAGTCCTTTAGTCGTGTCCGACTCTTCCTGACCCCATGGACTAGAGCATGTCAGGCACTCCTGTCTTCCACTTCCTCCCGCAGTTTGGTCAAACTCATGCTGGAAGCTTCGAGAACACTATCCAACCATCTCGTCCTCTGTCGTCCCCTTCTCCTTGTGCCCTCCATCTTTCCCAACATCAAGGTCTTTTCCAGGGAGTCTTCTCTTCTCATCAGGTGGCCAAAGTATTGGAGCCTCAGCTTCACAATCTGTCCTTCCAGTGAGCACTCAGGGCTGATTTCCTTCAGAATGGATAGGTTTGATCTTCTTGCAGTCCATAGGACTCTCAAGAGTCTCCTCCAGCACCATAATTCAAAAGCATCAATTCTTCGGCGATCAGCCTTCTTTATGGTCCAGCTCTCACTTCCATACATCACTACTGGGAAAACCATAGCTTTTACTATACGGACCTTTGTTGGCAAGGTGATGTCTCTGCTTTTTAAGATGCTGTCTAGGTTTGTCATTGCTTTTCTCCCAAGAAGCAGGCGTCTTTTAATTTTGTGGCTGCCGTCACCATCTACAGTGATCATGGAGCCCAAGAAAGTAAAATCTATCACTGCCTCCATTTCTTTTTTTGATAGTTACAAGCTTGTTGGATCAGAGGAATGCTGTGAGTTTCATTAAGGCTTTTGATAAAGCCCCCTCCCCCCAATATTATTGTAGAGAAGCTGGTAAAATGTGGACTGGATGAGGTAACTGTTAGATGGCTTTGTAGCTGGTCAAGTTACTGGAAACCAAGTCTTAGGAGAAATGGTTGATGGAGTTGGGTATGTTTAGTCTGGAAATGCCCCTTCATGAATCACTGCCTTGCCGTGGCAAAGGGGCTTGAATAACTCAGAGAAGCTATGAGCTATGCCGTGCAGGGCCACCCAAGATGGACAGGTCATAGTGGAGAGTTTTGACCAAACGTGATCCACCTGGAGCAGGAACTGGCAAGCCACTCCAATATCCCTGCCAAGAAAACTCCATGGACAAAGACAAAAGGCATATAAAAATCCTATCTTACGGGCATATTATCTATTGTAGATACCTCTTTCTGTGAGGTATGATGTTTTCACGTGGTCTTTGACTAAGGTAGGCATAGGCAAACTCGGCCCTCCAGATGTTTTGTGACTACAACTCCCATCATCCCTAGCTAACAGGACCAGTGGTCAGTGGCTTGGGCAATTTCAAAAGTCTTTGTCAACTGCGACCTCACCTCCTTGCAAGTTGCAGGGAGCCAGGGGGGACTCTGTTGCAACAGAAAAATAAAGATCTGCCTTGCTTTGATTGGTTCCTGCCTCCATCCCTTCTTATCTGATTAAATGATGGGCTTAGGGGACACGGAATCCCATGATGGGGAGTTGGGCTGTAAAAGCCAACCCCATTTTTTTGTATAATATCAGTATCTATTCAAGAGCCCCTTGCCTGGAAACAGGGCCCACATGGTGCCTTCTGCATGCAGAGCATCAGCATCAGTTCCACCACAGAGGCCCCCCCCCAATTGACTGGTCTGTTGAGGACCCCTTGAAAAACAGACACAAAACTCCTTGGTGTCTCATTGCATAACACATGGCAATGGGAGGTGTTACTTATAAGACCCTGTTTTCTCAAGTGGGGGTCACTATTATTATTATTATTCATTCATAATAATTTATTATTTGTATCCCGCCCATCTGACGGTTGCCCCAGCCACTCTGGGCTGCTTCCAACATATATAAAAACACTACCAACACTGGTATTCAGTACCATTGTTGCATACCAATACTGCCCCATTCCAGTGCATAGGGTGACCTGCAGTTCAAGCATGAATGGTGCACGCCCTGGTCTGGCCTTGTAAATGGTCCCCTCCCTTCTGGGCTGTGGGCTTTTTGAACAGGCTGACCCTGGACACCAGACCTGCACGCGCTCTCTCTCTCTGCATGAAAAAACTCTCCGTTTCAAGGAATGAATGTTAATTAGGTTTCCAAGTTTCCATATTTGTAGCATAGGCTTGCTGGCACCACAAGCTGATTTCAGGCCAAAGAAGTGGAGGCATCTGGAGAAAGAGAGTGCCCTGGGCAGGGAAAGAGCTAATACACTCAAGGCTTTGCACCACTGGCTGACAGTTTAGCAGCACAGTATCAGGAGACAAAGAGCTGCCCTGCCTGGCTAATATCACTCCAATTGCTTGTCTTTGTCTGCGGTGGGGCTGGGCCAACAAAGGATGAAATATGAATCACTCAAGGGAGACATAACATAATGACGGAGCACTGGGAGAAACTTTGGAGGAAAGGGGTTAAGTTTACTGCATGTACAATGTTAAAGGAAAATATTATGAAAATGATGTATAGATGGTATTTAACCCCTGTTAAACTGGCGACGATTTTTTTTTAAAATGATATTTATTAAGAATTTTAGAATTACAGAAAAAAAAACAAAAAAGAAAAAGAGAGGGGGAAAAAACAAAGGAGAAACAAACCACCATCAAACAATAACACAACACAGTCAAAAAACAAAAATAGGCCACAAACATTTAAAAACAAATCCAATATTCTCAAATCCTTAACTGTCATTACCTTCTTTCTTTGACCTCCTCACTCCTCCCTTTTTTTGTATCCTGGTTGTTAATTGTCACAGCAAATCCTTTCCATTTTTCATAATATTCTGTCATTACATTACCTTAATCTATTTTAATCTTATCTCGCTATAAAAGACCTTAAAACTTAAAACTTAGATCTTATTTATACCAATTTCTCATAACCATAATATTCTTACATAATTCTTTAAACATTTTTACTAAAGCCAAATAATTTCGTTCCAACATTTTTCTAACGTTCATCAATTTTATAAGACAATCCTAATAAAAAAAATTTTTTTTTCTTCCAATCTTCATCCAGCGTCTCTTCCTCCTAGTCCCGGGTTTTGTCAGTCCTTTCTATCCCATCAATCTAGCGCATTAACCTGGTAATCTTATGTCCGAGGCCGTTAAGTCTCTTCCATGTCCCTTCCGCGGCTCTTCTTCATATTTATACCTGTACTTTACTTTGTCTCCTGCTCCTTTCACTCGTGGGAACTCCAACTTAACAGTGTTTTTGACCCTTCTCGACAAATCAGCCCCTTTTCCATAGTCCACACTAAACTCCATGTGGTATTTAAAAACATGTTTCAAAGTCCCACCAGAATTAAGAGCCCCCACAACCCCAAACATCTCGCGGCCCATTGCCAGACTTGAAAAGTCCAAACATCCCTGCATAGGGGGGGTCTATCCAACCCCCCATTTCCAAACCAAACCAAACTTTATCTTTCCAAATCTGGCTTTTTCCAAGTTCATTTGTCAGATCCAAGAACTCATGTTCCTGCTGGGCCACAACTCCCTCCATCTCTGGCGCCCAAGGTTCAGCAACATCCTCTTCCCTCATCTGTTCTGTCAGAGCACACTCCTGATTTGATTCCTGGGTGGGCTCTATATAGTTTCCCACTGCCTGTCCAAAATTTCTGATCGCAACAGTCATCAAGTCCGTCTTCTCATGTAGCTGTTCCAGTAGGGCACTTGTATTGCAGAAAGCACACAGCAGAGCTTCTGAATACATTGTTCTGCAAGGTCAGAAGTCTATTCCCACGATCGTAATCTGTTGCAGCTGCATGCTCCCCGATTCAAAATTGGTAACAGTTTCACAGGCTCCCTCTAGGGGAAGAACTTCTATTTGTTCTTTTCTTTTAAAGGCAGATCTAACAACAAAGTTTCCTTTTTCAGGTATTTTGTCAATATTTGTTCCTTTAAAATGCAAAGGGGAACAATGGAATCACTATGTTTCTCTTCTTTTAACTATCTGTCAAAAACGTTCGTCTCTGGTCAATGAGCTTCCCAAAGAACGTCAGTCCTGACACCCCGCTCCAGGATCAAGACGGTGGAAAGTTACTTTACTTTACACTCTCTTCTGCAGGTTTAAACAGTCCGGAAAAAATCCCCCCTCTTCTCCTGCTTCCGAAGGGGGTTCAACAATTTTAAATGATGAAAGTTAATCCTTTACAAGCGATTTTCTGAACTCTAGTTTGCCATGTCTTTGCTTTAATCTATCTACAAAGAAACGGAAGGCTGACTTCCTGTTTAGACCTTCCCATTTCAGTGCCAAATTGAGGTAAATTTCTTAGTCCAATTTTCCTTTCTACTCGCAAATCATTATTTAAAGTCCAATTGTCTGAAGTTTAAGTACTCACGGGTGATTGTTTTGAAAGCCAAATTGTCCCAGGAAAAAGGCAGCGCTCTCCGGCAACGGAGAAAGGGGTTAAGTTTACTGCATGTACAATGTTAAAGGAAAATATTATGAAAATGATGTATAGATGGTATTTAACCCCTGTTAAACTGGCTGTGCGGCTTTGCTCCACGGAAGAAGCAGTTGACTCTCAGCACCGCGCCACTTCCCCCTCTTTGCTCCGGAGCCCGTTAGTGGGTTCCCTTGCGGGTTGGGGGGGCGCTAAAGGTGCCCGCCGAGTCCCATGGTCACAGGCTTCATCCGCCTGTGATTTTTGAAAGGGTCCCCACTTCGCCGTAGCGGGAAAGACCCGTTTCCCATGGAGCTGGTCCCTCCGGATCAGAGGGAATCCGCCATTGCCGATGGCGCCACCCCGGAAGTCCTAAACTGGCGACGATTTACCATCACTGTGATAATCTATGTTGGAAATGTAAAGAAAAGGAAGGTACCTTCTATCATATGTGGTGGACCTGTCCCAAGGTGAAAGACTTCTGGGGAAAAAAATTATAATGAATTAATGGCTGACTGACTGAACCCAAAGGGTGCTCATCAATGGTTCTGTCTTGGGCCCGGTCTTATTCAACATCTTTATCAACGACTTGGATGATGGACTCAAGGGCATCCTGATCAAATTTGCAGATGACACCAAACTGGGAGGGGTGGCTAACACCCCAGAGGACAGGATCACACTTCAAAACGACCTTGACAGATTAGAGAACTGGGCCAAAACAAACAAGATGAATTTTAACAGGGAGAAATGTAAAGTATTGCACTTGGGCAAAAAAATGAGAGGCACAAATACAAGATGGGTGACACCTGGCTTGAGAGCAGTACATGTGAAAAGGATCTAGGAGTCTTGGTTGACCACAAACTTGACATGAGCCAACAGTGTGACGCGGCAGCTAAAAAGCCAATGCAATTCTGGGCTACATCAATAGGAGTATAGCATCTAGATCAAGGGAAGTAATAGTGCCACTGTATTCTGCTCTGGTCAGACCTCACCTGGAGTACTGTGTCCAGTTCTGGGCACCACAGTTCAAGAAGGACACTGACAAACTGGAACGTGTCCAGAGGAGGGCAACCAAAATGGTCAAAGGCCTGGAAACGATGCCTTATGAGGAACAGCTAAGGACTTGGGTATGTTTAGCCTGGAGAAGAGGAGGTTAAGGGGTGATATGATAGCCATGTTCAAATATATAAAAGGATGTCACATAGAGGAGGGAGAAAGGTTATTTTCTGCTGCTCCAGAGATGCGGACACGGAGCAATGGATCCAAACTACAAGAAAGAAGATTCCACCTAAACATTAGGAAGAACTTCCTGACAGTAAGAGCTGTTTGACAGTGGAATTTGCTGCCAAGGAGTGTGGTGGAGTCTCCTTCTTTGGAGGTCTTTAAGCAGAGGCTTGACAACCATATGTCAGGAGTGCTCTGATGGTGTTTCCTGCTTGACAGGGGGTTGGACTCGATGGCCCTTGTGGTCTCTTCCAACTCTATGATTCTATGATTCTAAGTCCTTGGAGTTGGCTGGCCTGGAGAAGAGACTATTAAGAGGCAATATGATGGCCACCTTCAACTATGTGCAGGGCTGTTACACACACAATGGCTCAAATTCATTTTATGTTGCTCCCAGAGGGTAGCTACTGAACCAGTGGATACAAATCAGAAGGAAAAGGATTTAGCCTAAACATTAGGAAGAAGTCCCTGGTGGTTTGAGCTTTTGGACAGGAGAACCGGTGGCCTCTCCTTCACTGGCAGTTTTTGAGCAGGGGCTGAAGGGCTACCTATCAGTAGGGGGCTAGACGAGATGATTCCTGAGGTCTCTTCCAACCCCAAGTTTCCACTTTTATTTAAATAATGACCTTTATAAAGCTTACCTGGCTGATCTGAGGTGCCCCTTTAGTTGAAACCCTTTTGCTCTATATATTCAAGGCTGCAGCTGTTATGTACTGTTTTTAATAATAATTGCCTCCCACTGAGGCGTCCAGGCTCACAGGTCAGCAGGAGAGCAGCAGCTTTCCAGGCAGGTCGGAGCTTCAGTCTGCAGCCCCTCCAGTTTAAAAGGAAGGATTAGGCCTCAGCTATGAGGAGAGGCTTTTCTCTTCCCTGGTGGGCTAGGAGATGAACCAGGGGCCCGACTGCTGGCCTAAAGCAGCTTCCTCTTAAGCTCCTGGATGAAGCAGAACTTCTAATCGGAATCAGAAGCCCACGGTCCATATTGCGGATCAGTAAATCGCTTCGTGTGAGGAAGTGCAGCGCCTCGCAGGAGGCCGCTTGGAGGCAACCACGCGCGGTCCTGCCAGCAGTCTGCCCCCTCCGGCGCCCCCGCCCCACTATTCCGCAGCGGCTCGGCTTCTTACTGCCGTCCGAAGCGGCGGGGAAATCGATCCAGCGCCGGAGTTTGGAAGGCGCCGCCGCCTCGTCCTTGCAGTCCTTCTCCTCCGCCTGGGCCGGGAGAGGAAGTTCAGCCTCGGCGGGCAGAAGCAGCAGAAGCCCGCAAAGGAGGAGCGGGGGGCGGCGGCTGCTGCTGCTGCTGCTGCTGCAAGGAAGCTGCGTCGGGGCGTTTGCGCCGGATTGCCCAGCGGCAGCGACCCTTCTTCGCCCCCCCCCCGGCAATAGGAAAGGAGCCGCCTTGGGGGGCGGCACAGCTCTCTGCGCCCCCGGCGTGCATTGCCCTCTCCGGGCATAGGCTGCTTTTTCCTTCTTTGCAACGGGCCCCCCCAGGCGCTCTCCCTCGCTGCCCCTGCCGAAAGAGGGGCGCTGAGGGCGGGGGGAGCAGCTCGGGGGGGGGGGCTCGCCTGCGCTGCGCCCCCCAAGCCTTTCCCATCTTTTGCTCCCTCGCGATGGGAAGGCGGCGGTGGCAGCAGCGGCTTCTTCTTTGAGGGTCTCGGCTTGGCGAGGAGGGGGGGTCCCCGGTAGCCTCCCAGGCCACGGGGGGGATGGCCCCCCAGGACTAGCAGAACTCCGAGCTCCCTCCCCACCCCAGATATATAGGGTGGGAAGTGGCAAGGCTTCGGGGGACCTGGAGGAGGGGAAAGCGGGGCCCAAAGGGGTTTTTCGGGGGGGGGGGTTAGGCCGTAAATGGATGGGAGCGGTCTCTTCAGAGCAGGGGAATTTCGTGTGAGAGAGTTTAGGGGGTTCATTTAGAAGAGCAAGGTGAGGGGGTAGTCTATATATAAAAGGAGGGACGGGGGGGGGAGTCTGTTGGTCATTTTGTGGGTGATAGGGGGACAGTGTTCATTTTAGCCCCTATTGGGAAATGGGGACATAAAGTGAGGGTATTGGGGGTTAATCATAGGATCCTGGGTTAGGGGGGGGTGCCAGTTAGCAGGGGAGAAGGGCTTGCTTACATGGGGGGGTCCTTTGTTTTTAGGGAGGAGGAGGGGCTAGCCAGCTGAGAAGGGGGCCTCCTGGGGAGAGAAGGAGGGACACCCCATCCCCACCTGACAGGTGTTTTTTGCCAAGTGCGGGCCCTGGCCAGAGTCCCAGGCCAAAGGCCCAGGCCTGTGGGCAGCCAAGATGGCGGACCTGGAGGCCGTGTTGGCGGACGTCAGCTACCTCATGGCCATGGAGAAGAGCAAGAGTTCGCCTGCCGCTCGCGCCAGCAAGAAGATCACCCTCCCCGAGCCCAGGTGAGAGCGGCTGGCGGGAGGTGTGGGGGGGGGGCTTGCAGTGTGCTCCTCCTCCCCGCCAGTACTTTATTTAATTTATTACTTATTTGCTTCATTTCTATCCCAACCTTTTCTCTTTCCAAGGAGTTCCACATGGGTGTAAATGGTCCTTGCCCCTCCCCGTTTGATACCCCCACGACAACCTTGTGGGGTGGGCTAGGCTGGCTGGTCTTTCCCAAGTCCTAATCCTTTTTTATCCTGCCAGCAACCACCACAATCCTGAGAGGTAGGCTAGGGTGAAAGGCAGTGCCTGGCCCAAGATCACACTCAGAGAGCTTCATGGCTGAGTGGAGGGATTTGAACTCAAACCACTGTGCCACGCAGGCTATCTCCACCACCACCACCGCCAACACCTGCAGGCCAAAAGCACCTGTGATGGAACTCTGCCAAGGAGGATGAGCCAGGATTAGTACTGCCCATCATCCTTGTTATCATCAATATGATTACTGCATTTCTGTCCCACCTTTTCTCCAAGGAGCTCCAGGGTCCTTGTCAGACACTAACTCCTGCACCACCCTGGCTCCAATTATGAGTCTCCCCTTCCTATGAATATCTTCTAGAGCCTGCTTCTCCTATCCAGATACCCCTCTCCAATATCCCAGATACAACTCCTCCACCATGACGGCTGACTGAAGGGTCAGCCAGGATAGATCCCGCTTTGCTCTTTCCCAGCACCATACTTTTATAAACCCCTCACCCTTGTCTCCCCCAAATTGCCCCCCAAACCAGCACTCTGTGAGAGTTGGGGTACAGTGAATGTGAACCAAATGAAGGATTGCAACCCATCCCCCTTTTTCTTTTGCTTGTGGTCCGCTTGGATTCCCTTCAGGAGGTGGAAGCCGCTTCAGGTCTTTGCATTCCCCTGACCCTGGCCTTTGACTGCTCTTAAGTTATGTTTGATTTATTTATTACATTTTATATCCTAACTTTCCCCCTGTGGAACTCAAGGTGGCATGCATGGTTCTCCCTTTCTCATTTCATTTAATCCCTACTACAACTCTGAAGTAGGTTAGGCTGAGAGGTAGTGACAGCCTTTACCCACATGAGCCAACGTGGACTCTGCCCTTCCTTGTGGTCTTTGTGAGGGAGGCAGAGAGGATGTCAACATGAGAGTGGGCATTTTCAGAGGGGGTTCCCTGTTGGCAGAATGCTCTCCCCAGGCAAGTACAATTTTAGGTGCCAGGCAAAACCACCCTTATTTAGGCTTCTGGTTTTTAATTGCAAGGGTAGTTAGTTATGCCAATGGCCTTTGCTTAGCCACTGAGGATGACCTTTAGGTGAAGTGGGGATGGTCTGTTCATTTTAAATTTATTGTCGGATGTTTGCTGCTCTTTTCATCTAATGCCTTTTTCATTTTATTTTTTCCTTCTTAAGTAGCTTTGAGGTACATGAGTCCAAAAATGTGACAAATAAATAGAATAAATAAAAACGTTTATAATGACCCCCCCCTACATAAAAGGATTCCCACCCCCACCCTGGCAAGTTGTTCCAATGATGCTTCTTTGGCTTCAGTTGTCCTTCATCCTACTACTCTTTTTACTATTATTTAAATTAAAATGATACTGTTATTAAGTGACCATAGTAAACCTCCACTTATGGTTGGTGGATGTTTTGTGTCCTTTGGTGGTGCCCACAACCAGACACCTGGGTCATATAAATAATCAAATTGATCCTTTCCATGTCAGACCCTTCCCCTGACCCCCTCAACTTAAAGTTTGACAAAGAAATTATGAAAATAGCTGGGCTTTTGCAAGGCTTTTCAGAGCTGCTGTCCCTGGTAGCAACTGTCTTTCTCCAGTGTCACCAAAGTCAGCGTAAACGTTGGCAAGCACCTCTGCTGCAGCGCTTTAGTGGGAATTCACATCTTGGTCTTCTTCCTCTACCTGCTACTCTTAGCTACCTTGGTACCATTCTCCTTGGCCTCCAGTTGTCTAAAATCTTGAGTGGCCAAGGTTTTCCCCCTGCCCCCCAAAGTCCCCTTAGAGATGGGACACCCAGACATCTTATTCTGTTTCATGGGAGCTGATGTGAATATACAAAGGTGCCATTGGCCCATTTATGCCCAGCTTTCTCTGCTCTGACCAGTGGCAGCTCTTAAAGGCTTCAGGACTTTCCCAGGTTTGTGCATCCCCCTTCCTTCCTCCTTTTAGCTGGAGATGTCAGGGCTTGAACCCAGAACCATTTACATGTAAACCTGATGCTCTACCACTGAGCTGTGTTGGTCCTTTTCGTTGGGCTGCTACTTCTTCCTGGAATGGTCCTCCCTGTGATTGGATGGGGAACCAAAAGCCTCCTCTCTGCTTCCAGGGATTTAAAAGCCTCCCTTCCTCCCTATTTTCATCCAGCTACTCTTATCCCTTTGGGGGATATTTCTGTCCCTGATTCCCCCCCCCCCGCCCCTCCTGAGCTCATCAACCTTGTATCTAAGCTTCCTAGGGAACCAGTGTGGTGTAGTGGTTAAGAGCGGTAGACTTGTAATCTGGTGAACCAGGTTCGCGTCTCCGCTCCTCCACATGCAGCTGCTGGGTGACCTTGGGCTAGTCACATTTCTCAGAAGTCTCTCAGCCCCACTCACCTCACAGAGTGTTTGTTGTGGGGAGGAAGGGAAAGGAGAATGTTAGCTGCTTTGAGACTCCTTCAGGTTGTGATAAAGCGGGATATCAAATCCAAACTCTTATTCTATTAGCACCTCTGTGCCTTCTGCTACAAATCGCTATCCCAGCCATGTGGGATGTTCTGCACCCTCATTTGACTCCATGTCAAAGGACAGGTACAACAAACACTTTCCTGATTGCTGTTTGTAAAAAGTACAGACAAAAAGGGGAGTGGGAGTGGTAATTGGGAGTTTCGTATATGCCCACATCAGACCACCTAGCTTAGTATTGTCTACACTGACTGGCAGCAGTTTTCCAGGGTTCCAGGCAGCTGTCAGGGATTGAACTTGGGACCTTTTTTTATACAAAGCAGAAACTGCCCTTGCCCATTATAATGGGTATGGGGTTGCTCGTGCGTAAGTTGCCGCCTCTCCTGGCTATGTTGCCTTGTTAAACCTTTCTGTCTGGACAGCCCTTCACTTCGTGGCTGCCTCAGTCGCTAGCAGAATCCGTCAGTGGGCGTTTCTTAAACCTGTTCCAACATAAAAGTTGTTTGACGCCCAGTCTCTTCCTACTCTCCCTGCGTGGAAGTCTTCTGCGCAGGGAGGGCGTGGGTAGCGGAGGACCAGTGCTCTCCCCGCTGGTGTCCAGTTAAGAGTCCTGGAGCCCTCTCGCCGATTCCCCCATCTGCCCCCCTTTATCCCTGGTGTAACGTTGATTTGCTTCCCCCTCTGCTGAACTGCCTCTCTCCCTGCTTGGCCCTTCTCCAGCATCATTTGAGAGCCTTCCCTCCGCCTCAGGCTCCGATGTCAGTTCCCTGACACCCATGGACTTGCGTTGGAAGGCTTCAAATTGCCCGAGTCATGGACTTCAGAATTTGGGAATCCTAAAAGGACATGTGGACTGTGAGATTGAAATGTTTCTGATCAAATGAGGAAGTGTGTTGTGAGGGAAAAC